TTTTTTTTTTAATATTATAGATTATTTCTCCACGGACTCTAGGTCCGTGCCCTTGTCATACAGTTTTTTAATTATAATACATCTAGTCAATTTTTATAAAGTAAAGAGGGAACCTAGTTACACACTACAATTAACTACATCTATAATTATTACCAAAAGTATAGGTTACATAATAATTAGGCACTATTTATTTATTTCTATTTCAAAGGCTTTATGAAACCAGCCCACCAACAAGATGGGAGAGCCGACCTGACCCAGCAGAAGGCACCCGTTCACGAGTATGACGTGTGTGTCAGCAATTGGTCCGGTCAACCTTTTTATTGGGAACGGAACAACCCAACACACAGCGCCACCGACTGTAGGACATTTATGTGTGCATGACGCCTCAACCCTTGCCACGTGGGCCGATTCCAATAAAGCGTACAATAGTCCAAAGTCAATTGGTTATATTCTATTTCTACATAGCCAAGGGTATCCAAGTGGCAATTTTCCATCGTCAATGGGTAGCGGTTCTGGCGACAGCTTGGTACAATGGTGTCATGGAGCACCTGGTTTTGTACTCTTGTGTACCCTTCAACGGCAAAGTCACATAACATTAACTATAATAATAACGAAATCGCAATAAGGAACCTAGACTTGCCACGGTTTCGTTATATTTCATTACTTTTTAGAGATAAACTAGTAGCTCCATCGAGACTTGGCTAGTTTTTTTATAGAATGTTTTTGGTGGGATGTCATTTACAAAATCATCTATGACTGCACGGTTTTGCGATGGTTGGGCAACTGGCTGCCGCGCAACGTGTTGTGGGTTCGATTCCCGTGCGGAATAACTCTTTGTGTGATCCACAGATTGTTGTTGCGGGTCTAGGTGTCATGTGAACTTGTATGTTTGTAAACGTACACACGATACAGGAGCCAATCCTAGTGTGGGGCAAAGTTTAAAAAAAAGAGTAACTAATAACATTTTTATCAACTTAATAGCGAGTGGAGACTTTTTTTTAAACGTAGACTTTTTTAAAAACTGTGAAAGTCTATTGGCTTTATTTTAAGGGCGGAAAATTATCAAATGACTGCTTCAGGTGAGGCGGGAGGGAGTGTCAGACTCTTACTGACTAAAAACCACCCCGTTCCTTCTCCTGCGCTTCGAGCCGGAGCACCAGTAACCCGTTAAGTTCTCCGCGACTCCGAATCGCCATCAGCCCTGTTAGGCCCCATCTGTGGTGGTCTGATGCTCTTTGAGGCGCGCGCGGAACGCTCGGCGCCGTCCGCTCGGGTCTGTTTCTGGTCGGACAGGGAGCCACCCATGCTCTATGTCCGCAGGCCCGCGCTGACGGTGGCCGGAGATCGTCCCGCGATCCCTGACGCCCAGAGTGTCTATTGCCTAAGTAACGTACCTGTAGTATATTTGACGAGTGTTGCTAACACGGTGAGTACGAGTGCTTGAGTCGTGAAGTCCTCTAGAACTGAGGGGTCCAGCAGACTATTACTCTCCGGACTGCTTGTGTCCTTGTCAGTTGACGCTTGCTGTGGAATCAAAGAAAATATTAAATTGCCTGCCTCATTGGCCGAGTGCTACTCGGCAAGGGGTCTCAGGTTCGATTCCCGGGTCGGGTAAAGTATTACTGGGTTTTTCAAAAAAATCTCTGTGGTAGCACGGAGTCTGAAATTGTGGCCGATATATTGCAATAGACCCACTGGCACCCCCTATTACATGGGATTTATAACATAAATAGTGAAAAGTGGGTGTTACATTGTACAGTGGCATTAAGTGCCGTAAATGTGCACCTCCGCCTACCCCTTTGGGGATAAAAGTTATATATTATAAAAGTTATTTATTATACAAAATACCTTAGTAGAAGTCTCAGGGTAGTCGCTGTCCCCGGATTTAGTAGACGACGGTCGCTCCGTATCATCAGTGCTGCCAGGAGAACCCCGGCCATCATCCTCGACTATCTGTAATTTAGAACATAGATTTTTTATGGAGCGGCCAACAAGCAGATCACATGATGGTAAGCAATCGACACCAGTTATTATAATCAACAGCCTATAAATGCTCATTGCTGAGCAAAGCCTCTTCTCACACGGAGAAGGTTTGAGTATTACCCAGCATGCTTGCTGAATGCAGGTTAGCGATTTCAAACTTATAATTAAACATTTTAAGCCCAGGTTTCCTCGCGATTGATAGATTGATGACTGCTGATGAAGCGAAAGAGGTATGTAGGAATCGTAGTAATTGGCGTTCCATAGTCTCTGCCTACCCCTATGGGAGACAGTCGTGAAGCTATGTATGCATATTTCCTCACGATTTTTTCCTTCACCGTTTATCAGTGGTGTCTAGATAAATAAACATATTTTGACTAATGACTCACATCAAACCCGCTGTCACCATCGCCTGCTTCCCTCGCCGACTCTCCAGTAGGACCGTGCTGCATGCTATGTGCTCTGCCTTCACTGTCCTGTATATAGCGTGAACATATTACCATATATACAGATAAAGGATGACACATTCAGGTAGTAGGTATAGGGGACATTTAAGAAGTAGTGGTTTCGAAGTTTTTGTATTATAGAGGTAAAAGCGAACAGTTTTGCTTCCTTCATATGTTCAACCGATGTTATCTTTTATCTATATCAGTTATATTTGTCTGTCATAAACCTGTCATACACCAAGCGGTCACCGGTGACCGCAACCTATTGTTCTATAATTGTGTCTACAAAGACGGTACTCAACGAGTTAATGGGGAATTTTTATTGTTTTTATCCGAATAGTGTAGGTAGATTAGTATAAGTCACAAATTAAAATTTAATTTAATTAGATAATAAGTAAATACTGGAATAAGTAAGTATTGGCAAGACTGATGGCCACTCTATCGTATTGGATTAGTCTGTAGTGGTAGTTGTTAGCATTATATAAATAAATAAATAAAAATCTTTTTGATCTTTTTTTATTGGATAAGCCGGTAAATTAGCAGACGGATCATCTGACGGTAAGCAATAGGCGTCACCCATGGACATCTGGAACACTAGAGGCATTACAAGTCGGCTTTTTGGAGATTAGGAGTTTTAGGATTGTTGAAGATTCTGGGATTGGGAAAGGGGGGAGGGGTAATTGGGCCTCTGGTAGCCTCACTGACACGACGAAACACAACGCAAGCGTTGTTTCACGTCGGTTTTCTGTGAGGTCGTGGTATCACTCCGGTCGAGGCGGCCTATTCGTGCCGAAGCATGGCTCTCTCACATTATTAGGGTATATGGCTAATTTTTATTTTAATGTCCGTTTGGTAGATTATTTAAAAACGTTAAACACGTATTTTCATTTTTTTTACGGAAACGAATAGTTTCGTAGATATATTGATTTGAAATGTCGCGTGACGTCACTTCTATGTACACTTTATACGTAGAAATGACGTTTTAGCCCCCATTCCTAAACTTTGATTCGTTATATCTAAGTATCATTTTATTATACGACAATATAATAAAATACGTGTCTAATATTTTTTCATTACCTAACTGACGTACTAATTACATTTTTAATTTTCATACACTGTCATCATCCCTATTGTGCAAACATTGTGGTTATAGTGTATGATACAATTTAAAAGCATTTGGTGTAAGCTTAGTGCTTCGGGTTGGCACCTAGCGGGTTATAGAGGTAATATCATGAGTAAGCTACGCGACATCGCCGCGACCGCTCACGCTGCTAATGAGGAAGAGTCCCTCTGTGACTCGAAACTAGTAGAGCTTTTCTCAGTATATTCACGTGAGTAACCAGCGATATTAGTTAACTTAGTATGTCTCACGATAGTTATTATAAAAACAGTTACGTGAGTAAGCCGAAAACGATAATAAACTTCGAAACCACTTACAAACAACATATATTTTGGACATTTGGTAGGGTAGGGTGAACTCAAATGTACAATAGGACAAAAATCTCAAAGCGTCATCTAGGTATAATGTAGTTTTAAAAATCTAGTATTTTGTATTTAATTATCTAGGTACATATTTTGTATTGGTTAATTAATTTCTTTTAATTGCTAGTTCTAGAAGCACGTTGTGTTGATTAAGTGGTTTTGTGGTAGTGTTTAGCTAGGTTGAGGTTCGATTATTTAAAGTGTATGTGCACTATTTGGTGCTTTAGAGTGTTCCCTTTTGCGATAGGTCCTTATTAACATATTTATTGTCCAGAGGGGAGGATTGTTTTACATTTAAATTAACCGAAAGGAACGCATTCGGCGCTCTGATTGGCCGGCCGATGAACCAACCAATCAGGGTGCTTACTCTTGAAAACAATCTCAATGTCAATGCAATTTCAATCCAATAAAATCTCAATAATTATTCAATGTCAAAACTATACAACCCCTATCGTAGCTGTTAAAATAGCATTCAGAGTACGGAATATAAAGCCAAACTCAATACCATTTAGTTCATTAAGTATCCACGCAATACGGATGCAATGGGCGCTAGTGTTGCAACTCAAGAGTACGAAATTTCACAATACCAATGTCGATCGATTGGAATTGGATTCAAGAGTAAGCCGTACCGCCGAACGTTGTCTCGTGTCGATTACTAAGTCCTTAATACTGCAAACAAGGCTAACAAATAAATTAAGTATAGTTTATTGTTCACGTTACCCTTTCGGGGGTAAATTCATATACATAGGAAGGACAATTGTGATTATTATTTTGGTTCAGACTGCCTCGTTGACCGAGTAGTCGCAAGTGCGACTGCCGGGCGAGGGGTCTCGGGTTCGATTCCCGGGTCGGGCAAATTATTACTGTTTTTTTTTTAATATCAGTAGTAGTCTGGAGTTTGGAATTGTGCCCGGTATATGGCAATATGCTCACCCCCTATTATATAGAAGTCATAACATAAATAGTGAAAAGTGGGTGTTAGATTGTACAGTGACATTAAGTGCGGTGCTCTGCCTACCCCTTTGGGGATAGAAGGCGTGATGTTATGTTATGTTATTTAGAATCTATAGTGTAGTTTTAGAAAATTCTACAATTGACATAGCAATGTTTTTATAGTCATGAGACGTCAGTTACTTTATTTATAATTTTTAATAGAGTACCAGGTAATTTTTGTTCGTTTATTGTTTGTGTTAAAATTGTGAGAAGGGTGATGACAATCATAGCGTAAATTATCTGGATATAGTTAGCGTCTAGGTCTATTTATTTTCTTACATAACCTAGTTGTGTTTTTTTGTGGATAACATAAAATAATATTTAAATTTTTTGCAGAAGGTCTTTTTTTTTCTTTTTTTATGGCATAAGCCGGTAAACGAACAGACGGATCACCTGATGATGGTAAGCAATCGGCGTCGCCCATGGACACCTAGAACACCAGAGGCGTTACAAGTGCGTTACCGGCCTTTTGGGGATTAGGAGTTTGAGGATCGTTGGGGATTCAGGGATTGGGGAGATTGGGGAAGGGGAGGGTAATTGGGCCTCCGGGAACATCACTCACACGACGAAACACAACGCAAACGTTGCTTCTCGTCGGATGGAGGAATATTCGGAAGGAGGACGAGGATATATTCTGTCTTAAGAACCTTCTCCTGACAATAATAAACACAACAAAAACAAAAATCAGCCAAATCGGTCTAGCCGTTCTCAAGTTATGGCGTGACAACGAAAAACAGGTTTCATTTTTATATCTACAGATAGATTAGGAGAAATAAAAATCTTCATTGGAATACATTGACATATGTGTTTTTTATAACCTTCTCACAATTTTAACAAAGTAATGTTTACTATACAGTCAGTTTGAATAGCCAATCATAAGGGTCAACCATGCGGGTTTATAATTTTGATCTAAGGGTTAAAATTAACCGGGGTTTCGGATATCTAAAGGACATCTATTTAGTCATAAATAGGGTTAAAATTTTAGGAGATTTTAAGAATAAGAATAACTATTTTGCGATAACATATTTCAGCTAACAATAATGAAAAAACACACAACGCGATAACCGCTAACTGTATGTCAAAATAACAATAACTAGTTATCGCAAAACGTTATTCTAGTTATAACGAAATAACGGTAGGACAACGCGTTACTCTTGGAGGGCCGATCGTGTCTTTAGAAGTCGGCACAGAGAACGACCTCTGCGTTTTAAAAAGCATTCTAGCTGATGTCTATTAAATAGAAGCAGTGCAAAGCGTATTCATACGATATCACAATCATTTACGTTACAAAAACCGTTATTTATTAAAAAAAAAACATTTTAAACGTCAAACGTAAATATTTGTTATATTGAAGTGATGTGTTGCGTTATAGACGTGTATATGTGTTGTAAAAGCGTTATTTTGGCGGAAAACGTTGATAACGCGTTACAGCGATGCGGGTTATGGTGAATAAGTAATACAAACGATAAAATGTAACCAAATCCAACAGGAGCGTGTAAAAGACAACAGTGATATGAGTACGTACGTGGACTAACTGGAAGATAAGTAGAATTAGTTGATGGCGGATTGAAGAGCGGATAAAGGATAATTCGTTTTTTAATAACGGTTATTCAGCAATCGTTTAACTAGTTTTTTGATAACGTTTATTTTGTGTTTATAACTGTTTTTATGTTGAAATGTAAATGGTTATTTTTGTGATGATAACCGTGTTGTACTATCGGTAGTTTTTGGTAGTATTTTTTGAGTTGTAGCATTTCTTTTTTCTGTTTTATTTCATTTGTTTTCTATATATTGATGTTGCTATATTACCTCCCTATTATTTTATTACTCTACTGTGCTATTATTGGCTCTCTATTTAGTAGTTTCATAGGAACTAAGTATTACGAAGGCAAATCTTAAGAAACCATTAGTCAGCTTTGTAATTAACTCAGTAGTGTACCAATGGATACAGTCTCTGTACTGAAGCTTCATTTTTTTACCTACATATTACATTGGCTGACTATACATTACAGCGACTGAATTTCATCAGTAAAATTCTTAGATCTCTTGTCTCTGTCTACCGCAATCGGTGACAGGCGTGTCAATATGAAGGTATGTGCATATGTATGTATATCTCTTCAATCCGCCATTATAAAGAAGGAAGTTATAAAAGAGTATAAGTAGTAGTCTCTAATTACTCGACTAAGACACAATGACTGCATGATAAAGTACAGTACGATATTGTTTGATTATATTCTGGTATAATAATGACCAATCCATTATCACTATCAAAATCAATAGCCGGAACCTCTAATACCATGTGAAAACTATGGGTTTATTAATGTATCCTAGGTTGAAAGTTGTTATGGTTGTAGCTCCTAAATATTTTTGACTATTTCTCGAGTAGATAGTATCTCCCGCATAATTATTTCGTAGGTACAATGAAATTATTGGATTGATCATTCCATACCAGAATGAAAATGTATATGAAAATGTCTTTGACAATTACAAAAGCTATCTGATTCCCTGACAATTGAGTACTTTCCTTAACTAAAAATCAAAAATTTCGACTGTTTAATACAATAAAATAATAAGAAGCAATCACACTTTCATTAATTGATTTTATGACCAACTTAATATTAGTATTTTTCCAGCATTTTTTTAAGAAATATGTCCGCTGTTTGACTTTATAAAACGTGACGTACACAATCTCGTACAAAATTAATAGAAAACTGTCGTTTTTGACAGTTCGTTATACTTTTTCAGCTAGGTCTAAATTATTTTGTCGCCGCACATTCGTTGGCTAACTAAGTAAAGCTAAGTGACTTTGCATTTGATAAATGAATTCGTTAAATATTATTATTTTACTCTCCAGAATGTGACAATAAACTGACTAACATGTACAACAAGAAAATTATAACAAAACTAATGAAAAATAACTAATAAATATTATTTTACTATTAAAATTCGAATAACAAAAGTTGCATAAATAGGATTGCACAGTTGGCGGTTGCCAGTTCGAAAAAAGTATTTAATGTGACTAGCTGGGAAGTACCCAATTATACCGGTCGGGACTCGTGACAAATCCATCAGACAGCCAGAATCGTCTTAACATAAAGGCATTCGGGGCCCGTGCCCAGGGGCCCCATCCTCAGAGGGGGCTTCGGAGGACCGACAATTTCTACGACGAACACAGCAACTGGTTGTCGAGCAACGGTCCGATTCCCGCACGGAGCAACTCTTTGTGTAATCCAGAAATTGTTGTTCCGGGTCTGGGTGTCATATGTATGTGAACTTGTATGTTTGTAAACGCACACACGACACAGGATAAAATCCTAGTGTGGGGCAACGTGTTTAAAAATTACTTAACAAATGAACAAAGACATTTCCACAAAACATTTCCATAGATTTACATGGAATATTTGTTTTCTTTCATGAAATAAATGACACTTCACACAAAAGCTCAAGTCATTCGTTTCAACCAAACGCTTTGAAAGCTAACAACACATCTGATTGGGAAAGTCTGTCATGTTTATGGGACCCCAGCTCGAGTTGAAACTAGTCGAGTTGGATTTCTACTTTTCGGGTTTGAGCACGTAACATATTATATGGATAACAATGGGCTTATGTAACATAATTTTAATATAATACTCTTGATTTGTGATTTGAAACAATCGTGAGGTAAATAAAGGTCATGCCTTTATATAGGACACATGGTCACATGCACCGGGTATGTTATACGAATTACGATGTACCGTATAATATTTATTTGAGCGTCACTCTTCAGGGATCAATAGGCGTGATGTTATGTATGTATTTACTTTGTAAATATCTACATTTTAGAAAATACCCGGAAACTATACAGGGTGACTTGTAACTCGATGTAGTCCTACAATTTGTACGCTTAGTGTAATATTATTTTTTTAAGCTTCAAAATAAAATTTGATACTAATTGACTTGCTATTTTAAAACGAATGAGAGTTTCGGACAATGAAAGTTGATTGTGTGCAATATTAAGTGTGTTGGTTATTTAGCAAGTCACTAAAATGATAAGTATGTGAATAAAGAAGAAAAGTCATAATAATATGTTAGGAGAAATAATATATGTTATCCTAGTTGTAAGCATTTTTGTAATCAGTTTCTATTAATTGTAACATTTTAACTTTATTAATTGTAAAATTTAATTTTGCATGCCGAAAACAGTAGGCGATGTGTTTGGGACTATTTTTTATAATTATTATTACCCGTAATTACCATACTTCGTGCAAATAAACATTCTTATTCTTACAAGTCACCCTGTATTTCACAATTTGTAAACTATGAGTTCTACTTGAGATGTGTAATACTTTCCCATATCAGACGTGGTTTATATGTAAATAATAAAATGAGATCTTTGCCTGCCATTCCTATACTAAACACCGACATAACAGTTTCTATTGAACTTATTGCACCACTATTACTGAGGAATTAGTACTCAAAGTCAAGTCAAAGCATTTATTTCAATTAAACCATAACTTGGTACTTTTGAAACGTCAACAAATACAAAATAAATAATAAATAGTCTGTCAGTCAGTCCGTCAGTGAAGCTAGGTGAAGCTAGGTGCTCATTTCAAAATGTAGATTCTAATGGAGAACGAGGAAGAAACTCCATTCATTACTCTTTTTAAAAAAGTATGTTCTACAATGTCTCTGATACATATTCCAATACTATTAGTATTATTACAATTAACCCTTATTTTATATGACTGCCTCATTGGCCGAGTGGTCGCAAGTGCGACTGCCAGGCAAAGGGTTTAGGGTTCGATTCCTGGGTCGGGAAAAGTATTACTGGGTTTTCTTTGAAATCTCGGATGGCACGGAGCCTACAAATGTATTCCACTCTGCAATCACCGCATGGCTCACTTACAAAATACATATCGGTAACATTAATTACTTCTTCAAATATTGTTGTCCTAAATATAGGACAGAAAACTATAGACAGACTTCTTCTGTAATATATTATGATGATTTACCTAAATTCTGGTTTTGTATAGTGGTGCAATAATTTCAAATAATTACTTATGTTAATAAATAATACTTGTATATAAGATATATAATATATGAAGTTGTATATGATATTACCTGATGCGGGACTGTGACGAGATGAGGACTATGGCCTCCGCTGCTCGACGATTGTAAAGTTGGGGATTTACCTGAGAAATTATAATTATTAGAAGTTGGTCCATTTTCTTGTGATAAAACCATACATGGGTCTTTAACAGTTTTATATCGATAACCTTTTGTATTGTTTATGTAATAAACCGGTAAACGAGCAGTCGGATCACCTGATGGTACGCAATCGGCGTCGCCCATGGACACCCGAAACACCAGAGGTGTTTCAAGTGCGTTACTGGCCTTTTGAGGATTAGGAATTTAAGAATTACTGGATATTCGGGAATTGGGGAGATTGGGGAGGAGGGTAATTTGGCCTCCGGTAACCTCACTCAAACGACGAAACAACGCCCGCGTTGTTTCACGCCGGTTTACTGCTCGGCCGGGCAGAGCCGGCGGGAGAAGTCATCAAATGACTTCTCCCGCCTGGTTGGGGCGGGAGGGAGTGTCAGACTCTTACTGACTAAAAACCACCCCGTTCCTTCTCCTGCAATTCGGATTACCCGTTAGGTTCTCCGTGACTATACTTTTTTTTTTATAGTTGCGTTAAAGGCTTTGCCTAGGGCAGTTCTCATAGCTCAAATTCTAAAAATTCTAACTGGTTTTTGAAAAATTATTACTTATTTCTGGAAAATACAAGAGCTAGGCAGCTTTTTTAAACATTTTACTATGATTTCAATTATTTTAGATGAACTGTGAATAAATAATTTGTAAAGGTTTTCTCACCACCATGTGCGGAGGAGATGGCGGCCTGGTCGAGTACGTCCCAGGACTTCTGGCGGCGACTGTGACACGAACTGTGAGACGAAGACGGCTGGATCAGGATTGACGACTGCAACATACGAAAATAATAACATATTATGAGATTTTTCATACTTGGTTGACGAAGACAAAGTATTCGCGTCATTTGATCTCCGAAGAGGCGGTAGAGGCTATATTGTCATAGTAGAAACCAGTTTTCACTATTTATGTTTATATGTTACTATGTAGCTTCTGCCCGCGACTACGCGCAATCCCGTTTTCTCCCGTTCCCGTAGGATTTTCAGGATTTATTCTGTCTTTATAATCTTCTCCTGACAATAATAAACACAACAAAAAAAAATCAGCCAAATCGGTCTAGCTGGTCTCATGTAATGGCGTGACAACGGGAAACGGGTTTCATTTTTATGTAGATAAGTTTCACGTAATACAGAGAGATATATTGCGAAGCACCGGGTACATTACGTTTGGAAATACTGAGAATTTTCAAATAACCGAAAAAAAGCTCCATAATACTTTGTCCGACCTAGGAATTGTACACATTGTTCAGCATTGTTTTTACCACTGATCATCAGCATTCTATTGCTTATGGGTAGACGTGGTCCATCGTACCGCATCATCGGTTACCACCAGGCGAGATAGTGGTCAAACGTCGGCCCATCAAATATATATATATAATATACTAGTGGACCCGACATACGCTGTCCTGCATATCCACTTAAATGTATAAACAAAAATTCATTCAAATTAGTTCAGCCGTTTAGGATAATTAACCTAGACACTGACTGCAGCGCCACCTGCCGGGCTGATTTGTGAATCTAAACCATCCAGGGCGCCATTCAAACGCGTACAGAAAAAATCATTTAAATCGGTAAATTTTTTTAGGAGGAGTTCAATGACATACACACGTACAGCAGAATTATATAATATAAAGAATATAAAGATAAAAAAAATACGCTACTGGATGTGTCCAGTAGTTCCTCCACAATCCTTCAGGTACTATGAACTCGACTTCATCACATTCCAATTTACTATACCTCTAGATATGGTCCAGTCTATTATAGGTATTTTATTTAAAAAGAAGATTAACTCACCTGGTGCAACTCAGCGGTAGGACAGTAGTGGTCGCAGTTGTCGGGGAGCCACTTCGGTAGGGAGTGCTTTACATGGCATCGAGACCGGACCTCCTCACTCACACACACTAACGCTGAGGGAATAAGAGGGACTTTGTTATATAGTGAGTTTTTATGACGTTTGTACTTTACTTTTTTTGTTTGTAGCAAGTAAATTGGTGTGTTAACGCGTAAGCATACACAGTGTAAACTAAGTTGGGCGGTTGTGTGAATGAGTAAGTGGGGTGGTTGAGTGTGTGTGGGTGGGTGGGTGAGTAAGTGAGTGAGTGCGTGAGTGAGTGAGTAAGTGGAATTTCGGGTAAGTGAAAGAGTGAGTGCGTGATTGAGTTTGAGCGAGTGAATGAGTCGGTGGTCGGATAGAAAATTAAGTGAGTGAATGACTGACCAGTGAGGTAGGCGACGGTGTGTGGGGTGACGTGGAACTTGTCGCGGTGGGTTTGGGGGCTGGCGACGAGTGCCAGTAGCTTGACGAGGACGCGGCAGGTTCGTGACACGGTGGCAGCGGCAGGGTGACGGTATCCTTTGATCAGGTGGCCCACCAGCGCGAAGTGGAAGTTCGACCGGAAACTGGCGGGAGAGGAACATCATATCAATATGCATGTCGACTTAATAGGACGCGATTACATTACGTGATCATCATAGGTTTGTGTGAATTTTACTCGTACGATACCGCGCTCAAATATATTGAACCCGAATAGGTGTCCTAATTGAAATTGGCGCGAAAAGTTGTTAGTATAGATCGTACAATGGGGATGATGACAGGGTATGAAAATTAAAAATATAATTAGTCCATAACTTAGGTAATAAAAAAATATTAGACACGTATTTTTTTATTTTGTTGTATATTAAAACAATACTTAGATAAAACGAATCAAAGTTTAGGAGTGGGGGATAAAACGTCATTTCTTAGTATAAAATGTACTGAGAAGTGACGTCACGCGACATTTCAAATCAATATATCTTTGAAACTATTCGTTTCCGTAAGAAAATAAAAAATACGTGTCTAATGTTTTTAAATAATCTACCAGACGGACATTAAAATAAAAATTAGTCGTCTACCCCATTAACTATCCTAGTCTACCGTTCCATAATCGTTGACGTCATTCAATTTTTTTATCGAATCAGGAAGTATACGTGTAGACGGATCACCTGATGGTAAGCAATCGGCGTCGCACAAGGACACCCGGAACACCAGGGCGTTACTAGTGCGTTACAGCGTGCGTTAGCATTTTGGGGATTAGGAGTTTGATGATTGTTGAGGATTCAGGAATTGTGGAAATTGGGGACGAGGAGGGGGTAATTGGGCCTCCGATAGCCTCGCGCACACGACGAAATACAACGCAAGCGTTGCTTCACGTCGGTGTTCTGCTCGGCCGTGGTATCACTCCGGTCGAGCCGGCCCATTCGTGCCGAAGCATAGCTCTCCCATACTTAGCAGTGATAGGAAACCGAGTTGTCGCGAGCGACCGAACAACAGTAGACTAGAACAGGGGCACGGCCGATACTACCAACCATTTCGCGCAAATTACAGTTATAACACGATTTCAATATGTGTAATTAGTGTTCGAGGGAATAGATATTTACAAAGACTTTAGACTTTAGTCGCCCAACCGCATCATGCGATTTTCAATTATGACAACTCTTCAAGATCAACATGTTTCATCCCACGTTCGTACGAATACAATTGGGTAGTATCCTGGATCAAAAATAAATTATTTAGATTTTCCAGTCCAATTAAATATTGAAGAATAGTTACATTTTCATTTATTGATTTACCGATATACTTAATTTTTTATTTATTCTAGCATTGTTTTTAGATATTAGTGTGCTATTTGACGCGAAAATATGATGACGTCATAAGTAGGGATTTGGTACAAAATTCATTGCTGATTGGCCGGCTCCAGTAAACCAAACAATCAGAGCGCCTAACGCGCTCGATACTATTACGTTACGATTGCGATAGTTATTCGTGCTTAGTACTCAGTTCTATGAATTTTGTACGAAATACCATCTTATGACGTCATCATATTTAATCAGTATTGTTTTTGACGTTTCGATAAAAGTATTGAATTCGAACAGGGGCCTTAGTACGAGTTTGGTTTACGTTGAAAGTATTCGTAACGAGTACGCGTTCGGCGCTCTGATTGGTTACTTCATTGGCGCCGGCCAATCAGAGTGCCGAACGCGTACTCGTTACGAATACTTTCAACGTAAACCAAACTCGTACTAAGGCCCCTGTTGTCTACTATCGTAATTGCGCGAACTTACAATGATCGCACATTCGCGTCCTATTAGGACTATATCTTATATTAGGACGATGCTGAACAAAATAACGATAAATCATGCTATTGGTAACATGGTAACATAGTGATTGTTATTCGTAATGAAGAGTTGTTACTATGACGTATTTTATTTCTTACATGGACGTTCATACAAAGTTATAGCGGCATGCAGTCCTAACGTCGAATAAGTCTTTTATATATATATATGAATGTAGTTCATCAGTAGTACGTACAATGTACATCATAGCTTTTTGTATTAACTTTTAATCAATTTCTTTGTTTTTTTTTTTGTGAAGATTTATATTACATTACACATATAACATCACGCCTTTTATCCCCGAAGGGGTAGGCGGAGGTGCACATTTTGCCATTGTACAATGTAACACCCACTTTTCACTATTTCCCTATATCCTATTGCCCTACACCGGGCACAATTCCAGACTCCATGCTACTACTGAGAATTTATAAAAAAAAACCAGTAATACTTTGCTCGACCAGGGAATCGAACCCGAGACCACTTGCTTGGCAGTCGCACTTGCGAGTTGCGATCACTCGGCCTATGAGGAGCCATATTATATTATGCTTAGATATTTTTCGAATTTCTCTCAAAAAGTAGATCAATCTACAGATTTTCGATTATAATAGCTTAGTAACGACAAATTTTGTATTGCCATCGCTTATTAATTTCAGATTTTGGATCCAGATCGGTTACTTTTCATTTTCCTTCTTTTTGTTCCTTACCTGAGGCCCACAGCATGGTCCATCTGCTTGAAGTGCCACTCCAGAGGTTCTCTGGTTTCCATCATCACCTGTTCCAGCGACTAGGAACAAGAGATATCAAGTTGAAGTTTTTGCAAGTATTATAAATGATACTCAAGCGACGTTGTTATAACACCCACTTTTCACTATTTATGTTATGAGTCCCATGTAATAGGGGGTGAGCCTATTTCCATATACCGGGCACAATTCCAGACTCCGTGCTACTACTGAGAATTTTATGTTAAAAACCCAGTAATACTTTGTCCGACTTGGGAATCGAACCCGAGACCCCTTGTTCGAGTCGCACTTGCGACCAACGAGGCAGTCAAAAATACATATACAGATATAAATCTATCCAAACTATTAACTATCGTTTTTTTTTCTTCTCCTCTTATAATATCTTCTGATTCGTTTGCAGGAACCAAGACAGTTACTCATGTCCCTGGGACGCGCCGGACTTCAATGTTCCGGTGTTTTCATGGTTGTATCTACTGTAGATCCTGGCTTACAGGAGTTGCAGCGGTTTTGGGAGGTTGTGGTGCGCTTGTACCATTAAAAAAGATCTATTCAAACATCTACAAATACCTTACCTTACTCTGGAATTGTCCCTGAGACTCCAGTGTGTGTAGATTTTGTTCCATGAAGGCAAGCCCGGCGGCGTATAGTGTCGGCTCGTCCAGTTGCAGCACTGACAGTGCCACCCAGAACAGTGCCTTGTGAATTGGTGACGCCTGTCCAATATATAAAGCATGTTTTATAACGAAACTCTTTGAAGGTTTTTTAACTTCTTGTTAAAATTCGGCGCTGGGGTTGCAATTTAGTGTTTAATGCTTAAAGCTCAGTGTTGAAAATGGAACACTGCTCGATAATAGCGTCGCTTTTTCAAAGCGCTGGACGTATGATCATATACTAGCAGATGCATTTGTTCTATTTGAAAGGCTTTTTTATCGCACGTTAAAATAACTAAGAGTTGGATGCGCATTGCGCACCGTGCACATTCCTCATGATTTATAACTCCCGGTCTGGCTAGAAATTAGTTGAATTATCTCGTAAAATAGTTAAGTAAGGTACTTTTTTTTTTGGGATAAGCCGGTAAACGAGCAGACGGATCACCTGATGGTAAGCAGTCGGCATCGCCCATGGACACTTGGAACACCAGAGGCGTTACAAGTGCGTTACCGGCCTTTTTAGGATTAGGAATTTGAGGATCGTTGAGGATTCAGGGTTTGGGGACATTGGGGAAGGGGAGGGTAATTGGGCCTCCGGAAACCTCACTCACACGATGAAACACAACGCAAGTTATATACGCAACGTTATATCTCATATTTGTTGACGTTTCAAAAGTACCAAATTATGGTTTAATTGAAATAAATGCTTTTGAGTTTGAGTTTGAGTTTGAGTTTCAAGCGTTGCTTCACGTCGGTTTTCTGCTCTGCCGTGGTATCACTCCGGTCGAGCCGGCCCATTCGTGCCGAAGCATGGCTCGCGTACAGTTAAAATATTTTTTTAAATTTAATTGTAAGGTTCTACGACGGTATCAGAAGAGCCTGTTTAAGAATTAATTGAAAACTTGGCTTTAATTTAAAGAAAAAAAAAATAAGTTCCCAAAAATGAGTCCATTACTACTATTACCACACTAATCGATCGATGTCGATAGATGTTATGTGACTAACCAATCGATCGGTTGCCGGTCGATGACATCGGTCGACGTTGAACGGACGGGCAGTGGGTGACAATGGGGATCGTCGATCAAAAATCGATCGATTGATTTGGTAGCGAATATCGATCGTCGTCAATTTATTTATTCTACCATCGATCGAACGGTGCGATAACACCCTAACATGACAGACACAAGTTTAAATAGTATCAATATCATTAACCTAAATAGTACTAAGTATTTACCGGGTACAGCAGCGGTTGTAGCCTAGTGAGTGCCATAATCAGAGCCTCCAATAACGCGAGATCATTGAATGACTCCAGCGCCTTCACTAGTATACGGAGTAGCTGTTTCATATCATCATCTGTTACATTTTTACCTGAAAACAAATAAATTTGGATGTAAGATTACGTTTGTTGATCTAGGTAGAGGTATCTTATAATAGGGATTATGAAAGGGTATGAAAATTAAAAATGTAATTAGTCCGTCAGTTAGGTAATGAAAAAATATTAAGGCACGTATTTTTTTATTTTGTTGTATAATAAAATGATACTTAGATAAAACGAATCAAAGTTTAGGAGAGGGGGCTAAAACGTCATTTCTACGTATAAAATGTACATAGAAGTGACGTCACGCGACATTTCAAATCAATATATCGTCGAAAATATTCGTTTCAGTGAAAAAAGAAAAAATACGTGTCTAATGATTTAAAATAATATACCAGACTGACATTAAAATAAAAATTAGTCATCTACCCTTTCATTGTTATTTAAAAAGGAAAGTGCATAAAGGGTGTTATATATATATACAATATATATACATATACAGGGTTACAGGTTAAGTCGACCTAGATCCTTTAAGGGGTTTTAGTTTTCATCATTCCTAGCTGATTTGACCATGAAACACCCCACCCCAAACCAACCCATGCTGAGATATTGGATTTTGATTATTTTTTAAATAAAATGAAGTATTTTTGTATAATTGACCCTTTTTTCTGATTTTGTGTCACTAATTCATAGTGTTTTTGCTATTTTTGTGTAGCAGATTAGTTTGTTTATTATTCTCAACACAAAAGAAGCGGGTAACTGAACCAACTGGGTAATAGTCGATGATTGAAAGATTAAAAACTAAACAAATTTGTATAAACATTTTTTTTCTTTTAAGAATATTTCAAAAAAAGTCTATGACAGTTATGCTGCAGATGTACTAAATAATATCTACGTTTCTTTAGCTATCCAACAAAGTATAACAAGCTAGGGTATCATCATGATATTCAGAAAAAAAATTCTGATGTAATGCTCTCAGGCAGTAGTAAAACATAACTGTACTTAAGGACAAAGTTATCACTTGGGCCAGCAAACGAAATAAAACAAACTAAATAGCTTAAACAATGTTTATTATTATTTTTTACAATACATGTTCCACATGTCCGCCTCTGTTCCGCACACATATTCGCATTCTATGCCTTAGTCCACTTTTAACCACACCAGTCGTTAAGCCTCTTCTGATTTCGTTAGCCGCATCAATATTTTTCTGTCTTAAAACATCAACAGATGAGATCGGATGAGGTTCATTGTAAACTAAGCTTTTCATATGGCCCCACAAATAAAAATCCATGGGGGTCAGATCGGGACTTCGGGCTGGCCACGGTATGGGTCCACCTCTTCCAATCCATTTGTTCGGATACTTAGTGTCTAGCCACTCTCTGACGCTTCTTCGGTAGTGTGCAGGGCAACCGTCATGTTGATACCACATATTATTATCATTTAAACTGAGGGGTAAATCTTCCAGTAATTCGGGTAAATCATTTCTTAAAAAGTTTTCATAATCTTCCCCATTTAAAGCCCGAAAAGAAACGTAGATATTATTTAGTACATCTGCAGCATAACTGTCATAGACTTTTTTTGAAATATTCTTAAAAGAAAAAAATGTTTATACAAATTTGTTTAGTTTTTAATCTTTCAATCATCGACTATTACCCAGTTGGTTCAGTTACCTGCTTTTTTGTGTTGAGAATAATAAACAAACTAATCTGCTACACAAAAATAGCAAAAACACTATGAATTAGTGACACAAAATCAGAAAAAAGGGTCAATTATACAAAAATACTTCATTTTATTTAAAAAATAATCAAAATCCAATATCTCAGCATGGGTTGGTTTGGGGTGGGGTGTTTCATGGTCAAATCAGCTAGGAATGATGAAAACTAAAACCCCTTAAAGGATCTAGGTCGACTTAACCTGTAACCCTGTATAATATATATATGGATTTTAATAATTTCTGTATATTTTTGTACAAAATATTTAACAATATAAAGTAAATAATGATAAATATAAACTTACTAATACACCCGAAGACTATCAAAGCTCTCGGTTGTAGAGCTGGGTTGAAGCAAAACGCAAAACTTTTGGCCAGGGACGTCCTGTGGATAACAATCAATTATTATGATGCGTAACGTAACATTATCTCCTGCCGCGGTTACGGGTTACGGTTACCGCAGCCTTTGAAGAATACAGATACCTATGTACAGTCAAAGGTCAAACGCGTGCGTACGCATAAACACGCGCACGCGTACGCACACGGATAAAAATATGCGTGTGTACCTCGGTTCATTAAAAAAAGGAATCTAAAATGGTGGTGCTTATCATGTTTTCTCGTTTGCGCACTAGTCCCGTCTATACTCACTCTCGCGCGTACCGTATACATAATCCCGGTGAAGGACCGTCTCATAGATAGTATTAATAAATGAGTTAAAAGTAATATTCGTTCTTTATTTATACCACCAAAATCATAATAAAGATTCTCAAAAGGGTTTTTCAAATCTTCAACTGGTTAGAAATAAATACGGCCCGATCATGTTTTTGTTATTTCTATTTTGAAAAAAATATTTGACTTGAAATTTTATGTGCTAACTGTACTACTTGTCAACGCAAGTACAAGCCGCCATTTAAGATTCCATTCTTTAATGCATCGGCTTATACATGTGTGTTTAAGCGCTGCAGCGCAACCAATAGTAGTCTTACGGTGGCGGTGGACTTTTGACCTTTGACCGTACATGTAAAAAATCAAAGCAATTTTCCAGGCGCGTTTTACGCGATGGTAGCGATTGTTTGCGGCTCCCGCTGCACAAACTGCGGTCCCACTGCCGTGGCGCCGCACGCCCTGCGATCGGTTGGCGATCGCAATGGGCGGGCCGGTCTATAACTTAACTGATAGTTTAACACCTTGAACGCCATGGGGGACAAGGTATGAACCACGTTAGCGGAGGATTTACCTTTTAACTATATATAACAGTTTTCTGTAGGCAGTCAAAGGCTTAACCGCCCGTCTTGCGACAATCAACTGCCAAGTTTAGGGGCGATAATCGTAACCGCGGCGGCTGTAGCACCGCATAAAACTGCGGTCTCGTGAGTTTTGGAAATTCTGCTTCCATTCCGCTACCGCGGCGGGCGCGGTAGAAAATCGCGGCATCCTTAACCTAACTCAGTCCTTAGCGTAACTTGGTTGCGCGGCGATAGCCTTGTCGTTTATTGAGTTCTGTACTATGGGCCCCTGTCATGTCTTGAAACTGATAGAGAAACCAACCTTTTTTTTTTTTTTTTTTTATAAGAGGAGAAGAAGAAAAACTATGATTTTCACTTCCCTCGGTGAATTACTGCAGGAGACAGAATGAATTAAGCCTAAAGGCACTGAGCTGTTATACTTGCTTCCAATAATAGGTATGGCAAAAACGCCTAAACGCACGGAAATTCGTTCTAGATTCCACAAGGTCCGTATAATAAACTACACCTGACGAAACAATTAAATTATTTAACATAGTGTTACGTTCATATTGCCAGAGATCACACTCCCAGAGTATGTGATGGGCCGACTGCTCGTATCGCAACTCCTCTGTCGAACATTGGCACCATGGTGAATCAATAAGTTTAAATGAGAACAATTTGCCTTTAAAGTTGCCGTGGCCAGTAAGAAATTGGGCAACACAGTGATCCACCTCCAACCATGTCCTCTCCAGCCGCTCATGCACGGATGGAAAGAACTGATACAGGTGGCGGCCCTTAATAGAAGATGCCCATCTACCCTGCCATTCAGTTATAAGCTCATCCCAAACGTCCGTTATTGGCTTAAACAATCTTGCAATTTTATTTCTATCACGTTCTGCCAGAAAGCTTGCTGACAAATTAGGTCTCGCACTGTAGTACATAGCAGCACGTCGCTGCACCTCAAGATCTACCGGAAGTACGCCCGCGAGCACAGGTAGGGCTTCAGTGCTAACCGTCCTATAAGCCTTACACAGGAAAATCAAGGCTAGACGCTGGCCTTGAAGAAGTTTTCGCCGTACCGCGCCTATTGTGGCCCTATCAGCCCAGACAGGTGCCCCGTAGCACACGCATCCCAGGTAGGTTGCTCCGTATATGATCCTGAGCGTAAGAAAAGAGAGACCCCAGGTGGCTTTTGAAATTCGCGTCAGCGCATAGAAGTTTTTTTTGGCTTTCTCACTAATAGCCTTAATATGCTCAATGAAAGAAAAGTTTTTTTCCAAAACTAGACCGAGATAGCAAACCGACTCCTTTCGTTTTACGGAAACGTTGTTAAATTTAATAGACGGCCACGACTTTAGATTTCCTTTAAGCAATAGCTGGTAAGTTTTATGGGGTGCAAAAGTTAAGCGATTTCGTTCGCCCCATCGCGAGATCCTACTGAGACAGTCTTTAGCCAAATTCTCCAGTCCGGCGCGGGTATTTGACTGTACTAGCAAAAGGCCATCATCCGCATATCCAGTCAAAGTACAGCCACAAGGAAGGGGAATCGCGAGCAAATCATCAAATCCTAAATTCCATAAATACGGACCGATAACCGAGCCCTGAGGACATCCCATTGATAAAGACTTCGACCGAGAACAATGACCAAGCTTCAGTTTAACGGAACCGTGAAGGAAATACGTGTATATTAATTTATATATGTTACTAAAACAGCCACGACCTTTCAGTTTTAAGAGTAACA